TTCAGGGCTTGGGGTTTAGAGTTTTGGGGTAGTTTGGCAGAAGGACCTGCGTGTCCAGGCGGTCAGGTGAATGTGAGTCCACTGAGTTCAACGCATGCAAACAGAGATCCCCTTATTTGGGCCTCTTCAGAGGCCGACCCGGAACCCCAGACCATTTTTGAAGGGTCTTGAGAATCCTAGCATTAGGAGTTCATACTTGGGTCCCTTATTCTCTGAAGCTCTTGCGCTGACAAGACCAGATTATTCCCGTTCAGGCCGCTTTCATGCAGGACTGCGCATGCATTTATTTCGTCACATACTGGGATGCCGGCATATTATCATATTATGTCTGTGTGGCATTGCAGGGGCTTGGCATACCAGTAGCGGGAAGCTAGAAACAAAATATCTTCGCCACTCCATTATCTGATCTCAACCGCCGACGGGGGAAGCCTCGATGACACAAAAAAGCACAAGGAATGTACTCGAGTGAATGTGTACAGAAGCTTTGGTAGAATTCAGGTGGCATGAATTTTAGGCCTCGCCCCAAGATGGATGCATTTTCCGAGGCCGAGATGTTTCCGGGAGGCCTGGAGTCAGCACCGGGGCAACAGTGGAAATGTAGCAGGCGATTGCGCGCGCTCCGCTACTATAGCGAAAGAGCAATCATTGCCAGCACTATCACCGATGCTGCCGCCACCACGACCATCTCGAGCACTACATGACTGTAGTCTTTAGTGGCGGTGGTCTTAGTCATTAGTCAAACAGTCGTCATAGTCAGCATTCCCATGCAGCCTGTAGCGGTATGGACGAACTTGGGTAGTTGTTTTGTTCCATATGATAGCTCTGTAGTTTCAGTGATGCGGTCATCATGTTCCGAAGTCCGTCAAGCTTCGAGTTGCCGTATCCTCAGGCAATACACTTTATCCTGTGGTTGATCAATCACTTTCCTGTGCTGAGTACCCTCAGCTCAGAAAACTGTACACCACCAGACACTGTCCACACTGTTTGTTTGGCTTCCTGACAATGTACACCCTTATAACACCTTGCGACCACTTGTTTCAGTGATTCAGGCCTCAGATTGATCAGTTGGAAGTCCCATTTGTGTTTTGCAAAACTGTTTTGGCGGTGTGAGTTTGTTCCGAGCCCTAAGGCAAGAAAGATCGAATCTGTCGGGTGACTGCTGCTGGCACTGCATTCGTGATCGCTCTCCTGGCGATGCTTAGCAGTGCCTCAGGATAATGTTTAAAAGCCGTATGAGTTCATCTTAGCTTAAGTACTAGACTTCCTACATCTTTGATCCACATCGCCGCTTCATCATCATCGTCTTTTCCAGCTTCGTTTGCTGACACCGTAATGCTTGCTACCTTCGTTCCGAACATCAGCATTAGGGGAAGCAGATGTCATTCTGTTCAAGACTAGTGCGAGGCAGAGACAGCCGAAGTTTCACGAACAGACCCGATGCTTGAGTCCACTCAGCGGGCTGACGCACTGAACCCTGATGGTTATTGAAATCGTAATCATCTTGATGGCAGCTTGGCAGTACCATATGTCCTCACTTGCATTCAAGAAAATTGCTACAGGAATAGTCGTGATGTGAACCTGAGTGTTGTCATTTAAATCGAAGTCGTGCAGCATCAGTGATAGCTCAGTAGCGCTGGATGACGTTTTGCCGGTAGCGACCATGGCTGGTCCGAAGTCATGTTATCAGTCTAGCGCTTGTTCTGTTGCGATTACGTCCATTAGGTTTTAAGTAGATTGGGCTGGAAGCCTTCTGTTCAGCATGGTGCTAGTATTCGGGAGCATGGTATGCCACATGCATGCGATCTCTAAATCAGAGCGTAAGACTTGATGTGAGGCTCCTGGCAGCAGCAAACTGTAGCTGCCACCCCGGAGGAGGTACACAAGGCGGGAGACCAGCGGAATCGTTTAAGTACACGAGAAGGTTGTGGAGAAGGCTATTTCAGGTCTTGGGGCTGGGGATTTGCGAGAGTCGCTTCCCCTAGCATTTTCTTTGCCGTCGGTGCCTCTTCGAGTAAGCATGTGCTTGAACTCGAGTGGATGAGGGGGTGGATTTGACTCCTAGGCTGTTCCATGCTGTTCCCAAAAGAGCTGACAGCAAGACGCGCTTTTGAGAGCTGCCGAGGTGTATGCGACCATGATGTCCATCCTGCCTGGTGAGCATCGGATGGAGCAGCCCAGGAGTTTCTCGAAGAACGTGCAGCCTGTGTTCGAGCTGACCCTCTGCTGCGGAGCCCTACGGTAGATGTATCACACAGGGTACTAAACTCTAAACCCTAGACCCTAAACCCCTAAACCCAGACGATAGTAAGACCGGGCAGGGTTGGGGTCACTCCCTCGGAAAGCCAAGGCAAGCGGGTCTCTTCAGCGCGCAGCTCGGCGGGGATTCGTCGGAACTATCCAGAGCTTTCTCGGTCTGCTTGTACCACATAGCTTGCCGTGTTGCTTTAACTATAGCTAGGCGTCAAGACCCCTAAACTCCTATAATTACCAAGGAGGGCTGACGGCCAAGTTTGAACTTGCAGGTACGTGGTCGATTTGTGCACTCCCAGCTCTGGCTTCGATTACGTTGTCGACAAAGCTGCGTGTGAGCGGAAGCTCGAAGGATTCTGCGACTCACTCCGTGACAGCACACCCAACGACAAGTGGCTGCGGGCTGCAGATAAGCTCCACAAGAGCTGCCTACGCACTGTGCGTGGCAAGCAAGGCATTTCTGTCCCGTTGCTGGGTGGTCCGGTGCACTACCTCTGGGGCACTGACAGAACCCTTTCTGCATTTATGATCCATGTTGTTGTCGTGCATGGCCAGGCCTTTTTCAAAATGAGAGATTTGGTCGTTGCCTGCCAAGAAGTCCGGGCGAATGTCAAAAGAGCCTCCAACTTCAGCGGAGCTTTCGAAGGCCCCCCAGCCCAGACTAAAACCCAGCGGCGCCTCAATATCGGAAGTTTCGACTCTTTGTGCAACGAACATTATAAGACCCCCCCCCCCATATGAACAAAAGCGCCTGCAAGGTTGCATCCAGCCCTCAATCAAGCAACCCCGATGGCCATTAAGCCTTTCGAAGCTTGGTATCTGAGGAAGCTCTCGGCGGCTGACGCAGGAAAGCTCCGAGGACCCAAGAGACACAAAGAGTCAGGTGGCTTATTTTTTGACCTGGACTATGACTAGGACTAATTTGCCAGTCTGTTAATACACGACCCATAATAGCCAAGAAGATGAAAATAGTAGTGGAGGCCCGAAGAGTTCGGGAGCTCCCCCAATCCTAGTATGCGAAGGCGTCTTAGCCGCAAAAGATAAAGGGATGCATGGAGAGAGACCTTGTTTTAGAGTGATTTGGAGGTTAAGACTTGCATTGGCATTGATGCAGGTTTCGGCACTGTACCAGACATTTGCCGCCTGACTTTTGCACTGGTTGTTTCCAGGATGTGGTCGACCAGCTGCGCCGCGAGTTTGAGGTGGGCCCTAGCGACTGGATGCCGAATTTCTGCGCCACCGTTGCCAATTGCGAGCAGCTGGAGGCAGGATCGATATGTGGAGTTGACATAATGGCGTGGTTAGGGGGTTATGGAGGTGCGGATTGTTTAGAAGTTTAGCCGGCTTCTGCAAAGACACCAAGCACATTTATGTTGTATTACATTAGATTATGTCTTATTATATCATATTATATTATGGTATCTTATATTATCTTATACTATTCCGATAGTGCATTCAAGGCTATGCGACCCTGGAACATTGCCGTCGTGATCGCCTTTGTGGCTGGTGCCGCTTCGGCTGAGTGATGTTTCGCTGTTGCACCGTTTCAAGCCTTCTGTGTTTTAGGTTTATGGGGTTTATGATTTTAGAGCTGCGGCTCTACGGGACGCCCGTCCGTACCATCTCATTCGCTTCCAGCTTGGAACCCCCAAAACCATCAGCATCCCAATTAACTTCAACCATCGCGCCCTGACCATCCCTAAACTCTAGACCCTTAAGCCTCAATCCCCAAGACCCTGCCCTACGGCAGTACATCCCAAACGGAAAATAGAAACTAGGCCAGTGTCTGGCGCCTGCCGGCTGCAAGGTGCATCTGCTGTTATAGCGGCCCCTCACGACTAAATACCCAATACTGCTTCGCTAGTTTTATGCTTAAGCACCTATTTGCCATTTAGAAGGCCTCTAGACCCCAAACCCCTTTGTGAAACCCTAAGCCCAAAACCCTTAAGGGAATCCTGAACGGAACCCTAGAAAGCCAAAGGTCCTTATGCTCTTGATATCCACCGTCACCTTCATCTACGACCTCCTGCGGCCAGACGAGAAGCGCACCCCCAGAGGCCCTGGCAGGGTTTCGGGTTTCAGGGTAGCTCAGTTCAAGCCTGTGGAAAAGGGTTTAAGGTTTAGAGAGGTTTTGGCCTGAACTGTCTGGAAGATAAAATTAGACTAGAGACTAGAATGTTTTGTTGTTACTCCTTTTCGCAGTTTAGCAGTCGATTTGAAGATCTTGGTTTCTGGAGGTCATGATCGTTGAATCTAAATTTATGCGTTGCTACGATGGGTTGGGAGTGGATTTCACGTCACATGCTAGTGGAGGCACTGCAGCCGCTCTCACCTGGCGGTCCTCGATCATAGGTGTAGATGCTGTCCAATGACAGCATGTGCCGCTCTGAGCTGCTCGTACTTGGATCTCTCCTCCTAAGTATTATTCGCTAGACCTCACGAAGGCTTCGTGTTCATGGGCCTCGCCTGCGGCTGCCTCGCAATTGCGGCCCTGTTGTACCTGCACGTTGCTCAGGTGCCTGTGCTATTCCTTAGTGGGTCTAAGCAGCTGCCGCGCATCCCTCCAAGCATGCTTTATGTTCTCAAGAGACTTGCTACTAGTAGGACATGCCCGCGAGTGTGTGTGTGTGCACGCACATGCCAACTGCCCTAAATCTGAAAGCCCCAAACTTGTCATGCCGACGAAACTCGAACCAACAACTTCATCAGGCTAATTCCGAGTCTGAGAGCATAAGGCCCTGTAAGCCCCAGATTAAAGCCAGTATCCCAATATCCTAGAACCATACAGTGCCATACAGCCAGCTCCAGTCCTTTGGCTTTGCTGGTCCACTGGCTCCAAAGCTCCCATTCCCCGAAATGTAGTCCCTATTTAAGTCTATTTAAGTACTGTATGGGTGCATGGACCCTTAGAGAAACGTGCAAGCCTCTTACTCTTTTTTTTCCAGGCTGCGAGGGCCTGGATTCGCGGGGCAGTTCAGCTACTTTGTTTAGCAGATCCTCTGTTCGACACGACTGAAGAGCTGCAGGTGTGAAGGTGTTTGTTTTCACTGGCTTGCGGTTTTGACGTTTAGCGTCGAGTGTTGCGTATGAGGCCCTGATGTCCTTCATCTGCTGGCATAGACAAGGGCGCCACTACCAACAACTCGATCGCACATGCTGAACAGCAAGCCGTCACTACCTCAAACTGCCAACAAGTGCCTTCCCGATCTCATGCCAAGACGTACCCGGTGAGCAGCTACATTCGCAGCGAGTGCCTCGCTCTGTTCGGATTTGAAGATCTGCGCTTACACATTCTTGTTCCACAATAGAGGTCTGATGGACCGGACTCGGCTTCACGGTGAGGTTCGGAGCTCGGAATTCAGGATTCATGCAGGCTTGTTAGGAGTGTTGTAGATGTTCAGGAACCTTTCAGGTCAAGGTCGCGCAAGGGATAAACCACAACCCTGAAGCTTGAAACCGGAAACATCAGGTGGTGTGCGGATGGGATAGCTCAGAGAGCTGAGGGATATTGGTAAGTGGACTAGCAGTGGAATCTTGGAGTGGGGCATCTATCAACTCACGTGCGAGCCCGGAGTGAATAGTATTTCCCGAAGAATTCAAGCCCGAAAGGCAGCCTGGGCAATTTTCACCGGCTGGTACTGCGGAAGTTGTACAGGTGGCTTCTGTCCTGCCAAGTTTGAGACTGGTGCCACCATTGTCGTAAACAACTTGCAAGAAATCCTGCAGCTGAAAGGAAGCATTAATTTCTGATTGGTTGCCAATGTGGAGCAGCATAAAGCAAAACTTGCACCGAAGAGCAAGGCCAGATCGAACCCACGCGCGCACAGAAGTAGTGGCATGTAAGTGCCGATGTTGGGAAAGCCCTTCTTTCGCTCGGAAAGCGCCTAGGAGCCTCTTTTACTTCATGCTGGCCGAGCCTGGTGACATGTCGCGACGGCTGAAGGAACCAGGGGGGACGAAACGAAGTTACATCTATGGGCCAAAAGAGCTCGACACGGTTTGCAGCTTAGAGCTTACAGGGCCTCTCGACAGATCGTGGAGGCCTGGAACTTGTGCAAGTAGCTAGACGTCGATCCACTGCTGCGTGTTGCGCACGACCCGGTTCTAACTCTTTCGGCCTTGATATTCGAGCCACGGTGCTTGTTCATCCGCAACCTCAGTGCAGGATGTCTCTCACGGTGAGTCTCCCAGCAAAAGGCCGGGCTGTGGCCACTTCGGGGAGTCCTTCGATGTGCTTTTTGATTGTGTTGGACGGCTGTAGGGTTCAGGGGTTGCGCTGGGCTGGAAAGTCACCACGGCCTTTGAAGCCCTCGCGATCTCGATCCTACCTGGGGTCATTTTTGCATTGAGCTTCGGTGTTGAGGGCAAGGTCGGGAGCTGGACTTCCCGATTCGAAAGAGTTCTACCAATCCTCCCAGATTGATTGAGGTTTGTGGTCTGTGGCGTTTCAGGGCCTAGGGCATGAACCCTAAACACTACAGCCCTGCTAGAGCCTATAAGCCTTAACCGCTTCAAGCATTGCCTGGAAGCAGGTGGAAAGGCGTCTTGCTGTCTTTGACAGGGTCATTGCTCCAGGGAGGCCTGGATGCATGGGGTGCGAGACGAAGCCAACCCTTACTGAGTTGCCTTCATAGGTAGAATACTCCATCACTCTTATATACCCATATGAATCCCTGTTTTAACAGCTAGAATTGGGACTCATGGTCTATAAGGGGATACTGTCACTAGAGTCTAATGGGTGGACCGACCATCCCATGTTAACCTCTAAGCTCATGTCCAGCAGCACGAAGAAGAATCGCCAGCCTTCCTGTGGCCAACACCCAGACAATCTTAGGGTTTAGGTCAGGATCCGTGACGTGGCTTGCATGAAACACCGGCGTTCAACAGAGCAGAGACTTGAACTTAGCAGTCTCAGTAGTAATGTTAACCAGCGGCTGCCTCCATTATTGGAATATTTGTAGGCATAATGCATAACGACGAGGAGATGGCTGACAAGTACTAGGGCACTGCTATACACTGCGACTGTACATACTGCGGTTACTAAGAGTTGAGAACCGTCCTCGTCAAAGCAGCTGAAGCAGCAGAAGTTGTTGTTGATGATGTGGTTGTTGATTGGGTGAGTTGTGTGCCAATCCAAGCCCAGAAACGCTAAGGATTGTTGGCTGGAGACATGTCTACGGTCTACAAGCAGCTGCAGCAGGCGGTTGACAGGGCCTGGCAGCTTGCGGACGTCCTTTGGCCAGGTGATGCTGAAGCAGCGTAATTTATTAGGGGTTCGGGTTTTGTATGTATTGCTTGCCTACTGTTGCATGAGTCGGCTGTCTCAGCCGCAGAGCTGCAGTCCAGATTCATGGCTTGATGACTACAGTGTGACAAGCCTGCTGACATAAAAGCAACATTTTGCTTCGGCAGCAACACTAGTAGTTCAACACTAAAAGACTGCAGTGGTGGCTTCGTTTTGTGGACATGTGGTTTCAACGGCCAAGTGTCTAAGGAAACAAGATAGTCATAGAGTCATACAAATCGTTTAATCAATTACTGCCCGGAAGGCATGCTGGTGTGTAGGAAGTGGTGAACACCTGCTCGAGACATGTTGTGGCCAACCAGGGAGAAAGAATATTAAGGTCTTATTCCAGCGATGGCTAAAGTACCTCCACTTCGCCGTAGAGCAGGCGCCGAATCTCGACATTGAAATTCTGGCGTCGCGCTGCGACAGTACGTATTCAAGCTTGAAGCTCTAAAGTTGAGCTCAAAGGATGTGGGTAATGGTGCTATTCTGGTGTCATGGCATAACCCTAAATACGACTATGGATTCTTGCGGGTCTTGTCCGAGTTGTGAGAGCGTAAAGTAAACCCGACAAACATCGAAATCCGAATCCCGAAGGGCCTGCACGCCCCGCATCTCCAGTCCAGGAGTCGTCTTGCCAAGACCCCCGAAGCCTCAAATCAAAAACCTTTGCTGTGTAGCTTGCCCAGCCAGTGTTTGAGGTGTGGGGTTTAGGGTTGAGGACCAAAGCCCGATGTAAGATAGCCAACGGGAGAACTTTAAACTTTTTGGCCTTATGTACTTGGTCTATCCAAAAAAGTTTGAACTTTTTTTGGGCCTGGTTGTTGAAGATGAGAGAAACCCTAAATAAAGTTAGGTCATAAACCTTAAACCCAGCCCCCAACATCGGACCGAACCCGGCTCCGTGTGCAAGCTTGGGAGGTGCCTGGGTAGTAGCTGCTAGAAACACGCGAGCTGCTTGTTTGGTAGCCATGTAGGTTTTTACGACAAGCATCACAGGAAAAAGTACATATTCATACATCCATCCATCCCATCCCATCCTGTCCCATTGCCTTCCATTCCACTCCATTGTTTCATTATTCCATTCCTTCGTTCATTCATTCATACATTCATACACTTTTGCATTCATTCATGCATCTGTTTGTTTCTGTGGTTGTATTGTGGCAGACATGTGTGCGAAGTGACAACGCATTGCTTTTGTCATTCACCGGTCGACACCGAGGATCTTCATGAGTCGATCACTTCGAACTGTATGATATGTTCCGGCCATTTTGGTTTAGAATCGAATTTGACATGCTCTTCTCCCACCCTGCCTAACCCAAGCTCGTTAATTAAATTTACCTTTGCTTTCATTGATTTATGCGAGATCTCGAATCGGACATTTCTGTACGAAGTGCGATTGTTTCATGCGAGATAACCCGATCAGGACTCCGAGGGGAGTCCGAATTCGCAGAACACGCCACCGATGCGAAAGCAGTTGGAAAAAGGTGTGCGCATCTGGGATACATGCTTCAGCAGTGAAAGCATGTGTCGTCGGGGACTAACACATGCAACCAAGCCCAGCTGGGTGCGTACTCTCATGCTAATGCAGATAACCGAGATGCAGACGCAGAGATGTGTTTTGAAGGGGGCCCGGGGGCAATGCCGTTTGCTTGACCTTGGGTTACAGGCTTAGGGTCTAGGGCTAAGGGCGTGGTCCGGTGGTGTATGCTTTCAGTGCGGCTGCGACATGCAAGGAAAGATGGAACGCTCCTCCTTCGCGATGCTGCTGCCAAAATCCAGGCGCCTAAGCCAGTGGTGCTTGGACAAGGTACATGAGCTTTGTCAGGTGCAGAGCGAGACAGAGTGAGAGAAAGACAGAAACAAAAACAGACAGAGAAAGCTCCTCGATGCACCAAAGTCGCATGCGCACGACCATCCTGACAAGGGAAGTTCGACAAACAAACCTACTACAAATCGATTTACAGAGGGAGTGTGCGTGTCTCTCGTGTGAGTGTAAGTATGCGCGCATGTTGTTGCACCGTGGCCATTGCATCCTCCCTGTAATGTAGGGGCCTTAATAAATGGAATAGGGTTTTAGCGCAATTTATTATACTGTAATTATGATAAGGAACCCACAAAATATGATTGGTAATTATTTAGGCCCCTATATTACGGAACTTCGGAGGAGCTGGATCGTGGAGTCTTGAGCCTGGCAGCGATGGACAACTCCACACAGGAGGGGGTGCCGGGAACCCTCGTGTGAATTTGCGGCAAACTGTGCAATTGCAGCACTGCACACACATTGTCCACATTGCGCTTTCCTCATGTGGTGTAATGCTCACCATTCAGCGCTAGGCTGATCGGGATATCTCATCGGGACAGACTCTGCCATGCATGGTGGTCTCCCCTTATCCCGAATTTTACCGCTAGCATATCTATCTATCTGTCTATCTGTCTATTACTCTATCTATCCATACTTATATGTATATATATATATACACAGATAAACTTTTGTTTATTGCGAACAGGACTGACTGAACTGCAAAGCCATGTTTCCGCACTCAGTTGTGTCCGGAAGGAAGGTGTGCTGCTGGCAGAGCTGGGCCAACAGCTGCACGAGCACTCTTTTTGCATGATGGGGCCCGTCGAGCTTCATGGGCAGGCGAAAACTAGACATTGTAAAAGCATGGGCTGCTTGTTGGACACTGGCAGAAGTGTGGCAAGCGGGACTACTCATATGAGTTTGAGGTTGTTGCATCTGCGTGTCGAGCTTTGCTCGCACCATTGCCTGCCTTAGACAGTCTCGGATATTTCAGGACCTGAAGAACTACTGCAGTAATATGACCAGTTAGCAGTTCCATGTATTTCCGGTTTCAGTCTTAGTTAAATTTGCCACGAGACACCGTTCTAACTACCACGGCCCCTACACGCTTCATGTCACATCCCTTCGCAAAGAAACCGCAGAGGAACCCCAATTCCAACTAAAGCGGCCCCCAGACACGTCGAGCTCAGGCAAGCAGAGCAGCTTCTGGCGTTCAACGGTCAAGCGATCCAGCTGGTGAGCGACGGTGAGGCTGCGTCCCGAACTGTGCTGAACTATCGGTTTAGGCTTGAGCGTTTGGTGTGATGTTGCGTTGCTGCAGTGAAGCTTATAAAAGCCAGCCCAGCCCATTCCTCTTCGCATTTAGACCGAAGCTCATTCGGCGATGCAGGTCTTTTTTCACAGGTCATGTCCCTAAGGATGTTGTCGGAACCTAGCAAGGCCGGTCATTTGAATTTGGGCCCTAGACCCCTGGAGACAAGCACGACATCTTCTGGTTCCTGCGGTGGATTTCGGCTTGGCAGCCAGAGTTATGCGCAGTTCCTGCACGGGGAGCGCCATGGTTCTCTCATGCTGCAGTCTAGACTCCTGACATGACGAAGCCCTAGCTTCCTCAATTGCCCTAAGCCCCCAGGTATTTGGGTACCAGAGCCCCGAGGGCCCAAAAAAAAAGGTACCCGGAGGGTTAGGGTTGGTTTGAGTTTTGCCATATGAAGATTGAAAGCTATCGTCGGCGACCCCGGGCACAGGTCGTCGTCCACGCGATTGTCAGGACCGGGTTATCCACGCGATTTACTTTGTGCTGCTAGGGTGGCAGAAACATGGACCATCCTTGTCGCAGGGTCTACGTCTAAGACAGACGGGCGCTCAAAGCTATTGTAGACAGACGGGCGCTCAAAGCTATTGTAGATTCCCAGCTCCAGGGAAGGGGCAGGATTCAGAAACTGTAAACCCCCTAAACTCCTAAACACTAAAGGCTTATCTCCACGCCGGAGTTGCATTTCAGAATGTCAGCAGATGCCCTCAAAGCTTCTGGCCTCCGATCGAACCATTGGTTACAGTCGCTACAAGGTGTACAGTAGTGATAGCAGCTGCGAGAATGACAATGGTCATAAGCTTAACTACAGTCCTATGGTTGTATGGTAAACGAGGTTCTTCGGTCAAACACTGTTCCCAGAGGGTCTGCGGGTTTTCGGTGGTTCAGCCCTGGGCACTTGCAGGAGTTGGCAAGATCTGCGGACCCCGGTGGTTGATCTCATCCAGCACATCCGGGATGCCTGGAAAGGACACGGGCTTCTGTTCCACATGTGGTGTCGATTTCCGACATGATTCCGTTCATGTTGTCGCGTTCTGGGTCTTGCTGAAGTCTCAAGCTTTTATCATGGGGGCTCCTGGTCGTGGAGATTGTTATCGATCTGTCCCGCACAGAGTGCAAATTAAGGTCTACTATGGAGTGGGGCATGGAGACGCAAAGAAACGGTCCGGCAGGAAACATGTACTTGGGCAGAAGGGGTGTTCAACACATAGTGCACTGCAACATACTGTACTAAAAACAGAGAAAACCTCCACAACCACCACCATCATCTCAGCGAAGCACTGTTTCACCAAACCACGGACACTGTTGCCATTCAGGCCAGTATCCTGTTCATCATCTCATCGTCGTCATCATCATCAACATCTGCATGACCATGCTAAAGTCCATCAGATAGCAACTTGTTCGTCCTGACTATCAGCGACAACGGCATCGTCATATTCCGATGCTGGTGCTTGACTGGGGAGTGTTCCAGCATTGGCAACGGCACCCCTGCAAGGCGGAGCCCTGAATCAGCTCGTCGCCTTCGCAAAGGCCGACGGAAATTGTAGTTTAAGCAGCCGATATTGCACTCGACAGGTTTCGAGATCTTGGGTTTTCGGTCCAATATCTGAGAACTGTCCGGGCCCCCTGGCAAAGACTGCGCTGAAAGCATCTGAAAACCATGTAGCGTTTAGCCCTGCAGCCAACATACCTCCTTCAGCAATATGAGTTTTTCACTGTCAAGAATTTGGCAAATTTGCCCCATGGGTGCCTCGTCGCCGAAGCCCATAACTGGTAGCCTCCAGTCCAGAACCAGGACGCATTGCCCTACATTCCACTCCAACCATTGCCGACCAACGCCGTCGCTGTTGTTCATTGCGGTGATCCTGTAGATGTGTGCTCTACGACCAGTTGTGTTGTGACTACTCACACATTGTTGTGGCTGTTGCTGTTCATGCTGCTGTCGCCGTTGGTGCTGCTGTCTTTCTGTTGATGTCGATGATGACGATGCCATCTGTGTTGTTGCTGGTAAAGCTGCTGTGGTTGTGGTGTAGTGGAAGCGGCTGTGATATATGTGTGTGTGTATGTTGTTGCCGCTGGTATTGCCTTTGCAGCTGTGGGTGGTGGATGGTTGTAGTTTCGCCTTATTACTCAGTAAGGATGGTGGTGCTGGCATTTGAGGTTGGTGTCAGGGCCGGTCCATCTTTGCTGCGGCTTGTCGCGTGCTTAGCTGTGGATGGTGATTGTTGTCACCTTTTGTGTTTCTCGTTAGTTTTGTAATCCCCACTTCGGGAACAAGGTATGTTTCGTCTTCCGTTTCTGTTTCCGTTTTGTTTCCGGTCTGTCTTCCGCTTCTCCAAGGTCTTCCGTTTTCGCTTCCATTTTGTTTTCCACTTGCTTTTTCGGTTCCGTTCGTACTTCCATTCGGGGTTCCGGTGTCGATTTGGCT